ATTGATTTCTATGAGTCTATGGTCTCAAAAATGTATCAACATAGAGAGAGATGTTGGGACTAGACATAAACATAAGCCATGAGGTCATGTGGCAAAAGGACTGGGGATACTTTGTCGATTTTTTATATTTTTTATGACGATTTTTTTCTTTTGGTCTCGTTGACCACTTTTAGTCTGCTGTGACAGGTCGTAGTGAACAGACATTTCTTCCTCGTTCCATTTTTAATAAACTAAAATTAACGTATTAAATTCACTGTGTTCAAAATTATTTCCCTGTCCCCATATTCCATTAATGATATACATGGGATACTCTGGGAGTACATTCTTGAGTTATTAGAGTTCTCTGAGATTAGGACCGAATTCAAATTCTCAGGTTTAGAATTCTCATGGAGTTAAGGCAAATTTATGGGTTGTATTCTGATAATATATCTAGCATAACTAAATTGAATGAATTAATTACTTAAAAAATATGAATATAGATATTCTCAGTGAATTTCCCACAGAGAGAAAAATAAAATTTACCAAAAAAATTTATCAAAAGTTGGAGTTGGAAGAAAAATTACGAATAATCACGTAAATTGTACAACCTGTTCCGTAAAACTTACCCAAGAGTCTAATGATGACTTACTGCTGTATCGAGAATGAATCTATCTGTTTTATTTATGCAGATTGAGAAATTTTGCGGAACATTGTGTACAAACAACCCTCCAGAATTTTTATTTTTCTGGCATCATAAATCGATAATTTTCCGAGAGATTGTACTTGTTCTGGTCGAGTTACGCAACAATTTCGCTTTTTTTTCAGTCATGCACTTGAGAAATTACTACACTTTTCAGATTTGTTTTCGTCTATTCCCATAAAAGTGATGGAAGGCAAATCCTTATTGAGGATAACATGAATTGTTTCTTAATTTTCACTGATTATTTCTTCTCTCAGATTGATAACCAATGGGATCGTTGGATTCGGGGCTACATGGTATTCTTTCGAAAACGAGATTCTTTAGAAAGAAAACGATTCTTTAGGTTGTGATTCTGAGAGAAGAAATAATCCGACAAATACCCCTCGAGCTTCAAAATTAATCGGATATTTCCCTCAGCCTCTCCTGTAAACAAATAGTACATCACTTGGCCCGCCCTTAATACTTTTATTGCCCTAGGGAGGTAAGTGGCTGCTTATGGCCTTTTTTTTTACTTACCTCCCTTGAGGGATGAAAATATCCGGTTAGTAGAGCCTCGTAACATAAAGTAACATATGCCACAGGGTCTCCAAAGCATCTTGGCAACAAATTTTATCAGACTTCGAACTTTAGGCAGGGATTTTGATGAAATACGTCGTTAAAATACTTTTCAGCCCTTGTCGCATATAATTATAATCAATTAGAGTAAAGGTTTTTAATTGGATTATATAATTTTTGTTGATTGAATAATTTAGTGCGTAGTGACTTGACGAGATTGCGTAACTGGAAAAATAAACTGACGGAGGAAATGCAGGAAAATAGATGCAAAATAGGAAAAACTAGAGAATTTCACGGAAAAACGGAATTATTGTAAGCTTGCTTTTTACTTTACATTTCTGCTTCAATTGCCGCAAAAAAAAACTGTGAAGCATAACTTCACATTACATGAACGGTACAAGTAGTTTTCCGTTAATTTTTTTCCTGCATGACCGTGAGGATATTAATCATTTTGCAACCAGAATGCCGTTTTACAGAATAATTAAGCCATCAAATCCATTTTTATGACGTGTGAAGATGAAGAAGTTGATGTTTGTCATTGGATAAAATTCCTGAGTGATTTTTTTCTGTTGATCGGCGAACATCTTTTTAATCTTGACAACTACAACTGTTCACTTTACTAAAACTCCTGTCTGTGTGGAAATGAAACTGTTTTTTGGGATTGAACAAATTGAGGAAAAAATGCGAGCGTATGAAGTTCAGCAATTACATGAAAACGATATTTTCCATTCGAATTCTCTTTGACGAATTAATTCCTGAATGATATTCACATTTCAATGTTCATTATTATTTTTATGG